GATGGACAGGAGGCAAAGGTCGGCGGCGACGGTGCTATTATGACCAGTTCAGCCGCTTCTGTGTCTATTGAGCAGTCGGACGTCTGCCGACCGGCCGAAATAGAAGAGGGAATTCAGTGCTTGAGTGATCCGCCCGCCAGCTCCTACAAAGTCTGCGAGGGTGAAAGTGTGCTGATGCGTTGCAAAGTGGCCAATCAGAAGGGCAAAGCCCGATGGAGGGCAAAAGACATGCTTTTAGGTAAGTCACTGAGCCAAACCGGCCAAAATGTGCTGACAGTTTGATCATTTTGAGCAGAAAATCTTAATCCAAATGTGTTTACTACGCATGAAATAAGGCTATAGACTTCAATGCAATATGAATGTCATTAAATTCTTATTCTGCAACAACTCCAATACTCGTAAATTGGCCAAGTATTATAAGTCTACAGTTTAGCAAACAAACTATGATTTAAATGTATCATAGAGACTGAAAGTCATCACTGCTGAATTGATATATTAGTGTTTCCTCCTGCTAAAGCATGCACACACATTTGTCAACAAATGTAAACAATGGTATGTGTATAGGCATAATGGCCAGGGCCTTGCCAAGTTTAATTATTATTAGCCCCGCCAGGTCTTTGCATAAAAAGCCATCAAATCATAATTATTTTGCCGGCTGATTCCTTCTCATAAATCTTAATCTTGCTTGAATATTTAATGAATGCTAGCTTATTCGCTACTTAGACTAGGGAAAAATTGTAAGACGAGTTGTGGTAATAGTAATAATCATAGTGGCATAAATAATTCATAGCCGAGTTGTGGCAATTTATTTAAATCTGTTCTAGAATGCTTCTCACAACGATATTTGGCAACCTTCGCATGGCAAATTAAAAAAAATGGAATTATGCGTATCCACCCAACGTCTGTGGATATTTGGTGAAAGAGGCATCTAGATAGAGAGGCAAGATAAACTATCGCCAACATGCTTTATACTTGGGATAATTTTGATAAATTATGATGCGGATAGGCTTGCATGAGATTGCGTAACCTGTTTTCATTCAAATAAACCAGACATATGCCACATTTTTAAGAGGCTCCTTTGTTTATTTGCGCAGCCATAATGCCACTGCTGGGTTAAGAACGGTCCAGTTTAGATAAAAACTTTTTCTAAATTATCAACAAATGCAGGTAGTTAATGCCCAATTCACATCAGCTGAGTGAATTATCTCTTTTCGCGAGTAGTGGAGGCTGTAGTAGATTAAGGCAGAAAGAGTTAAGGTTCCAACTGCGATCCATAATATTGGTGGATCGAATGTCATCCCTCAGTGCACCGATCTTATCAAACATACCAAGAATGAATCCAGAGATGCAGGGGCAAACGTCACACCAATTAAATTAAACCATAGGAATTTTAGGATTTATAAGATCCAATATATCTATTAAGATCAAGGCGACTCAAAGAAATTAAGCTAAATTAAGCTGAGCATGTGAACGTTCTAGCTGAACAATATTCAATCTAACCTCACTAACAATTTAAGATTTATATTTTAAGATTTTTTACAGTGACTCAACGTCTTACACAGTATAGAGTTCGTAATTTATTTAGAGGTTTTTCGTTAAATTTGTTTTGAAATTGCTCTCGGAGGTATAGGAATTGAGAAACTGTGTTTGGCTTTTGTCTGTCCAGCATCGAGTCAAGCATGGTATCATGAACTTCCAATATAAAATGACATTTGGATACATGAATGTGTTGAGGTTTAGACAAGGAATAATCAATTATATATACTAGTATAGTACTTAGTAATTATACCTTAAAATTATATATATATATATGTGTGTGTGTGTATATATATACTTTTGTAGAATATATTAAGAAATTATCTATTTGCACGACTGCTTGTCTGCCATAGGCACTCATCTTCACTTGATCTATGAATTGGGTAAGGAATGCCCTTGCTTGAGATCCCTAAAAACAATATGCCCCGCTAGTATTGCATTTAGCCTCAAAGCAAAAGGTTTTTTTTCGAACTCACCTGTGTGTGAGAAAATTCCGCCTTGACCTGCATCACATATCATGAAGTCAATTTAATTCCTAAAACCTATTTGTTTCATTTAAAGAACTTCTACTATCACTTCCTAGGCACACTAAAGCGACCTTTGCTGACCAAAGTGCTTACAAAATATTCTCTATCAAGCAAAGGAGCTTATATGATAAGCATAGAAGCATTTGTTATTTTCAGTTTCAAGGAAGTTACAAGTAAATCCCATATATATATATATATATATATGAGATGTGTTCATCCTATTTCGTTTAATGTGATGAAGATCTGGTAGTTGAATTTTCCCACATTTATATAAGTAGACATTAAATTTTACGCAGCCTTGCTTGCCAAGAGATAAAATTATTCAAAGTTGAGTGCTGATTCAACTTCACCTTGGTCTCGTCAGCAACCCAGCTGAACTCGAACCACATTTCATATGTAGAAGCGTGGGATTTTGGGCCCAAATAAGAAGTTAGCTTAAGTCAGATTAAAATTGAGCAAATGTTACGTTAACTTCCATTTAAAGTGAAATAGATTCCTTGTAGTTTGATGGACGCAGTCCTCTAGACGATTCCCTCTCGGTCCAGTGCACGTATTTGCCAA